GGCGTACTCTTTGTTTTGAATGCCTCTTAGCGAGGACGGAGCATGGTTCACACACAACCGATCACCGATGGCCAATCTTTCCTTTCGAATTTGCCAACGGTGGCTCAAAAGTGTGTCCCCTAGCCTGTATATGAAGTCGTCGGGAGTCGAACCCCAAAGTAGACACGGCCGTCCACAAGCAGAGAGGCACTAGCAGTGAGATCATTCACAGAGAAATACAGGTGACAATAAAGACTAAACACCAACAAAGCAAGCAAATTATATGACGTAGCCCCCCCGGGCCCCTCCTCACCGTCGTCCGTTTTCCAGTCTCCCACACTTGTTCCAGCAGGCGACAGCTGACCGGTAGTCCCGGGGGTAGGATGCAAAGCGCCGAGTACAGCATCTGGGTGGACAGACACAGCACGGGATGGGGTCGAACACAACAAACGTGAATGTGCGCCATGGCCTGCCTGACCAAAGGCGTCATCTTGGAGACAAGTTGCAACCAAACACAACAGCAGCAGCAGCAGCAGCAGCAGCAGCAGCAGCAGCAGCAGCAGCAGCAGCAGCAGACGAGACAGGAACAGCCGCAATAATGATGACGACAACACCACCAACAATAACCATGGAGTATGCGCATCTGTGCAGTGAAGCGTGCAGCAATGTCGCTTGCGTGCCGCTGTGACGCACACGCGTACAACAGCCGCCCCCCCGTCTCGCCTCTACAACCTCGACACCCAGAAAACAAAAACTCGATACACACGTAAACATACACACCGAACCGTGTGTACAGGAGTAAACGATTCCAGAATAGATTGGGTGTTTTCAGTCGCAAGCAACAGACCGACATCCCTTTATTGGTCAGCCGGGTAGCATTGTCAATGCTACACACACCTCACTGAGACCGGCGTTACTTTGTCCAACAACAGGAGGGCAGAGCCCCCCTTTGCCCATGGGCCTGCTGCGCTGCACCGCAATGCTGCCGCGGAGCCCCCCCCCCCCCTGACTCACCTGGGTCTCCTCCGGCATGTTGGAAAAGCCGGCGGCGATGGACGCCGTCACCCTGTCCTCGGCATCCTGCTCGGCAGTCGACGCCTTGACCCTTCGCCGTCGGTGAAGCCCGGCGAAGGTCTTCTTCACTTTCGAAGAAGTGCTCACCCAATCCAAGGGGCCCTGCGCCTGCAGGAAATAGGCGGGCGCGCGGGAGGGGGGGAGGGGGGGGGATACGCATGTAAACGCATGCCGTAGTCGTTGAGACCATTGAGACCTCGCATCCGTACAATGTCGGGACGGGGCGATGTGTCGGGTGCTCGCCGGCCCAGGCTACAGCACGTTTCACAAGGATGCACCAGAAGCTGGTCATCAATTTCAAAGTGGGGGACAGGGGGGTCCCGCAGCCTGCATAGCCGACGTGGTGGGGATGATGATTTATCTGAGATACGTACGTATTGCGAATCCCCTCGACACTCGGAACTCATATGCGGGGAATCCGGGGTTACGTGGACGCGTGTGTGTGGCGGTACGGTAGTTGGGCGGCGGGGCCCCAAGCAGGGCTCCTCGCCCACACCCTCCTCCACTCTCCTCTGAAAAATGTAGAAAGATCCTGGGTTCAACCAATTCTGTCTGCGCATATGACAACAAACTGTCCGCCTCCACACAACCCCCTCGTCATCAAGAGACTCGAGAGCAACCACCAACAAGGCTTCTTGCAGAGACGCTTCTTGTGAAAATCACTTGGAAAAAACTTCGAAGCAAGGCCAGATTTCGAATGATTTCTTTTCTACATTTGTAGGAAAGGAAATCTTTCGAAGGACTTTCGACAAAAGTGCTGTGCGGCGTGTTGAACGACCCCCAGGTGCCCGAAGAAACCAACCGCCAACACAGCCAACAATAACGATACAGTACCGGCACCTGTTGAAAGACGCATATTCAAGGCGGGTTGCCCCTTGTGAGACAGGTGAAGTCGCTTGGATAGTCAAGTCGTCTCATACCCTGAATAGTGCCGGCTGGGTGTCCGATAGAATAAGGCCGGTGTTTTCTCTAGCGGACTTGAAATATGGGCCACTACTGTACAGTGGGAGTCCCCGAATAACGCCGTCTGAATATGGCAGTCGCCCTATTTAAGGTGGGCGAAAATTGGCTGGAATAGACGGAATAATCAGGTACACACCGAATAAGGCGGCTGCCCAATGCAAGGCGGTCATTATCGGCTGCCCCACCTCGGCTAAGGCGGGTGAAATTGGCCGGAATAGACGGAATAATCAAGTTGTTCAACTGAACAAGGCGGCTGCCCAAAAATAAGGCGATCATTATCACCTGCTCCACCACGGGTAAGGCGGCCGCCCCAAACAACGCGATCATTATCAGCTGCCCCCGCCACCTCCTTGCCCGGTGACCCCCACCATACCCACAAACATACCTGCTTGAGGGTGGATGCCACCACTCCCACCGCCAGCGGGCAGCGGCCGGTCTTGTCCAGCAGCTGCTTGGCTTCCTTCGGAGGCGCCCTCCGAGTGGCCGCCGCCTTTGCCGCCGCGGAGGTAGCTTCGGCGCCGGACAGGGGGCCCAGAGGGCCGATGAGGCGGGAGACGCCGGCGGCGTTGTGGGATGACGCCATCCTGGCGATCAGCGGCTGTGTGTGTGTTTTGTTGGGGGGGGGGGGGGGAAAAAAA